GGAGATATAAACATCCAATAGAAAAGCAGTTTACCTTCTTTTCAGAAGTACATAAGAGCTGGGGCAGAATAGACCAAATTTGGACGTCGAGAGAACTCTCCTTAAGAGCTATGAAATGTGAAATTCACCCGAGAACTCTCTCAGATCATAACTCAATAACATTGGAACTAAAAAGTGAATTAAAAGGCGGCTTTAGATGGAGACTAAATGAATCACTCCTAGAGGATGAGGAAGTCATCGGGAAAGCAAAAGCCACTTTAAAAGATTACTTTGAATTGAATCTTAATACAGGAGTGAGCTCAGAAATAACCTGGGACGCCAGTAAGGCGGTGCTGAGGGGCTTCTTCATTCAGCAGAACAGTTACAAAAAGAAATTAAGGCAACAAAAGAAAGAAGAGATCCTCAATCACATAAGGCAGTTAGAGAAAAAACTGATAGAGAACCCAAAAGACACACAAAGCATACAAGTAATTAAAATTCTACAGACACAATATTCGATGTTAGTGAACCAAGAAATTGAATGGAAAATCAGGTTAACGAGACAAAGATATTTTGAATCAGCCAACAAAACTGGAAAATTATTAGCGTGGCAACTGAGGAAAAGACAAAAACAAAGTGTGATAAATAAAATAAAAGTAGAAGAAGAAATAGTAGAAGATCCAAAAGAGATACAAAAAATTTTTTGGAGTTCTATGAAGGGTTATATAAAAAAGGAGAGGAGGACGCAACCCTAATAGAAAAATACTTAGAGAACTGTGAAGGGAGGACTTTAACGGCCGATGAGAAAATACAGTTAAACAAACCCATAAATATAGAGGAGATCCAGAATGCAATTAAAAGAATGAAATTGGGGAAGACTCCAGGCCCGGATGGCTTATCAGCAAAATACTATAAAGTCCTTGGAAACCAACTCGCGCCAGCCCTCTGTGAAGTTATGAATGATATTTTAAAGGATGGAAAAATACCGGAGTCATGGCGGGAGGCTTTCATAACCTTAATTCCCAAATCGGACACCGACAAATTAAATATCAAAAATTACAGGCCAATATCTCTATTAAATAATGACTACAAAATATTTGCGGACATAATGGCAAACAGGTTGAAAAAACATCTAACGGATTTAATTCACAAGGATCAGGCCGGTTTTTTGCCGAACAGGTTTTTGAAGGATAATGTTAGACATGTTATAAATTTAATTGAGTACCTGGAGATTAATAACAACGTACCGGCAGTACTGATGTTTGTGGACGCCGAAAAGGCGTTCGACAACGTATCATGGATGTTTATGATAAAATGTCTGGAGAGGGCGGGGATAGAGGGCGACTTTCTGAAAGGAATACAAGCTATATATTCAACTCAATCGGCCAAATTGGTAATAAATAACAATTTAACAAACCAATTCAAGATAGAAAAGGGAACAAGACAGGGTTGCCCTCTCTCCCCGCTTCTATTTATTATGGTCTTAGAAATATTGGCAAATAAAATTAGAACCGCGTCGGAAGTACGAGGGATTAGAATAGGTTTGAAGGAATTTAAACTAAAGGCCTACGCAGATGACCTGATATTATCCTTGGAAGAACCCCGAGAGAGCATTGGCAAGGCACTAGAAATTATGGAGGAATATGGCAAGCTATCCGGTTTTAAACTAAACAAACTGAAGACAAAAATGCTAACAAAAAATCTGAAAAGTGATGGAAAAGAAGAACTAGAAAGGAAATTTGGAATAAAAATTGCAAAAAAAATAAAATATCTAGGAATCTGGCTTACGTCAAAAAACATAAATTTAATTGAAGACAACTACTCGGTAGTTTGGAAAGAGATCAAAAGAGATTTTGATGTTTGGAATAGAGTCAACTTATCATGGTTGGGCAGGATGGAGGCGATAAAGATGGTCGTACTTCCTAAGATGTTGTTCCTTTTTCAGAACATTCCAATAATTAGGGGGGCTAAACTGTTTAAAGATTGGCAACGGACTCTCTCCAGATTTATCTGGCAGGGGAAAAGACCAAGGATCAGATTTAAAATTCTTACGGACCGAAAAGAAAGAGGGGGTCTCGCTGTTCCAAACCTAAAGTTGTACCATGAAGCCGCATGTTTATGCTGGGTTAAAGAGTGGATTACTCTAGAAAACAGCGACCTACTGGACCTGGAAGGGGCGGACAATAGATACGGCTGGCATGCCTATTTATGGCAGAATAAAGGGAAAGTGCATAGGGGATTCTTGAATCATATTATTAGAGGCCCCTTGTATGAAGCCTGGAACAGGAATAAAAAATTACTGGAATGGCGAACCCCTTGGTGGCTATCCCCTTTTAATATTATAACAACCAAAAATATAAATACGGGAGTAAAGAACTTAACATATGAGGACCTACTGGTAAGATCGGAAGACACGTGGAAATTAAGACCATATGAGGAGCTGGAGGGAAAACTGACAGTTTGGCTACAGTATTATCAAATCAATGCCATATGGGCGGAAGATAAAAAAATTGGAATGAATGAAAAAAAATCGAAATTTCAGATTGAAATAATCGAAGGTAACTCTAAATTATTATCTAAAATGTATAATATTTTATTGGAGTGGGACACAAAAGATGAGGAAATCAAAGAAGTCATGGTTAAATGGGCGATAGATCTAGGTTATAACATAGCCTATGAGCAGTGGTCAAAACTGTGGGAAAAGGGAATAAAATTTACGGCGTGCGCCGCAATTAGGGAAAACATAGAAAAGATGATTCACAGATGGTATCTAACACCAGAAAAACTGAATAGGATATATAAGATTGGTAGCGGGGCCTGCTGGAGGTGTAAAGTAAAGGAGGGTAATTTCATGCATATGTGGTGGGCCTGCGAGGATATTAAAAAATTCTGGGATACCATATACAACGAGTTAAAAAAAATGTTAAAATACACATTTTTAAAAAGACCAGAGGCTTTTCTATTAGGCATCATAGGAGAGGAGATTAAGAAAGAAGATGTAATTTTGTTCCAGTACTCAACAGCAGCGGCCAGACTGCTAATTGCTCAAAAATGGAAAAGCACGAGCACCCCAACGATGATGGAATGGCAAAATAAGCTATATGACTTCTTTGAATTGGCAAATATGACGCAGAAAATCAGAAACCAAAAGAATACAAAGTTAAGGGATGATTGGGCTAAATTTATGACATATATAGAAGGAAAATATGAAAACGTACCAAATATAGTCGGTTTACTATAAAACTTTCGATGTTTCAAGCTATTAAATAACAACAGCTGTAAAGATAGAATCTTGGGAAAATTAGGAATCCAGAGTCAAGAGGGATGGAAGTCAAATTATATGTTATCTTGTTTCTTTTCTTACTCTTTCTCTCTTTAATCTTCTTTTTTTTTTCCCTTTGCTTTTTCTATCTTTACTTACCTATGTTTATGTGTATGCATTAAACGAAATCTAATAAAAAAAAATTTAAAAAAAAAAAAAAAGAAAAAAGCTTGGAGTGAACATTACCTTTAAAGCAGACTAAAGGGTGGTGGATCAATTAAATATTAAGGTGCTGACTGTTTATAATGGCTTTCTGTTTATGTTCTTGGGCAGCTTTGCCAACTTCATGTCCTCCAGATGTTTTGGACTACAGCCAGCCCCAGGTTCTGATGAAAGTTGTAGCCCAAAACATCTGGAGGGGCCCAGGTTGATGGCTGTTGCTATTGGTTTTTTATTGTTTTATTTGAGTAATTACAATTATAATTTGAAGATTCCTTAGGGGCATTTTTTAAGACTGAAAGGTGGGGGTATGTGTGGTTTTATAAATAAATAAATATATCTGGAACATAACATTTTGAATAGCACATGATGTCATACTGGCAAATACCGTGTTTCACCTACCTTTTATCTATGGATGACGACAACACTTACCACTTACCGGTACTTGATGGTGATGAAAAGAAAGAAACTAGCTAAATTTCTTAGAGCATTCTGGGCAGAGTACTCAGGTAGCTAAATGTTTCCAAGGCCTTAATCTTACCTGTACATTGAAATGCTTATTCATTTGAGCAGTCTTAATAAACACAATCTCTTGTAATCCTTGCAGAGGTAAGTATCAGGATAACACCAAGTTGGAATGGGAACCTACAGTTTATTTGATGGATTGACGTATTTCAAAACAATATTTTATGTAATCTGTCACGATGGATATTTTGATAGAAACACATGCTCAGCCATAACAACAAGTGACACCTGAGATTGCATTTAAGTTTGAGAATGCAGAGTTCTTCCACACCAGTGGGTCTGCTGCAACCTGAGATGGCCTAAGCCTGGCAGATGGGGGAAAACAAGCCTTTAAATGGTATTTGAGTTACATCGACTTTTCTGTCGGCTTAATTTGTGCTGGATTGCCAGCTCATGTGGCCAGCCCAAGCCCTTCCCTTTCTTTTTTGAAGTGTCAGGTTAATGTAGGATGCATGTAAACAATGGAAGATTTGCCATTGAATGTCATGGGGTGTAGATTATGTCTCTCTCATCACTATCAATCCAGCTTGAATTAGCCACCTATCAAATCCATTTATTCAGTGGAAAACATAAACACATGCTTCTGTCTCTACTATTTGACATAGTGCATTTATCATTGGTTGGGTCATGCCAAACACAAAACATTGATGATTCAGTGCCCATCATGAGAAGGCAGAACGCAAAAGCATTTTGTGATTCCACAAAATTCTCCAGTATAGCATTATTTTTAACTGTTGATTTTATTTATAGTTTCATTAAAAAAATAAATAAAACAAAACACAACTTGTATTTAACTTTTATTAACATTGTTAATGAATATTTTATAGTCTTTGGAAACCACTTAAAGGTTTTATTAACAATTAAGAGGGAAACCTATTATGTTAAATAATTAAAAACTACAATGGAAACTTGATTTTAAGGAACAAATAATTGAAATTAGCATAGGGACTTGTCATTTTTCACTGTTTCCCACTTTTGTATCCAGTATTCACTAAACACCAGTTTCATTTTGCAGCTGGTGGAACCCTTGACCCCTAGTGGCACAGCCCCCAACCAGGCACAGCTTCGCATTCTGAAAGAAACAGAGCTGAAACGTGTCAAAGTCCTTGGATCTGGGGCCTTTGGAACTGTGTATAAGGTATGTGCCTTTGATGGTCTTAGTTCATCTACTATGTGTCTCTGGTGAAACCTTCAGCCTATCAGGGCAACAGGATAGTAGTGTGTTCAAGGGGTTCCTGAAATATGAAGATAAAATGCCTTTTGATTATACATGCAACTTAGAACTCAGTGCCCAGTTCCTGTGTTCAACTGCTGTGTTCAGTTCTCAGAATTGGGCTGCTCAGTATTCTGCAAGCTATTTCAGTTAGAAAATGTAAATTGGACTCAAAGGACCATTTACCTCAAAGTACTAAGATCAACTTAGGCATGTGGCAAATAACATGATCCAGTTGATTTCTTTTTGAAAAATGCTTTGTAAGTAGCTAATTTGGAGTTACGGTTTTCTTCACTTTTTCAACATCTTAGGGTGTTTGGGTTCCTGAGGGAGAGAGTGTGAAGATTCCTGTGGCCATTAAAATCCTGAATGAGACAACTGGCCCCAAAGCCAATGTGGAGTTCATGGATGTAAGTAATGGATACCCTGTTCCAGCGATGCGTGTTCACACACATTATTTGTGGTTTAGCTTCACAATGGCAACTACTTATTCCAATTTACACACTCTTATGATGCCCAGAGAGAATTGCCCTGGAAGAACCAAACTTGCATGGATTTGGTGGCAAAACTCTCTGCACTCAGTAGACACTGAGCGTCCACCTAAATATGGTACCAACTCAGTGTTCCTCAAGCTCACTGAACTCTGGCCCACTTTGTTGCTTTATCTTTCGAACTCTGAAGCAACACAGTGCCAAGTATGTGTTGCATAGATGAGCAGCAAACAGTCAGGTACATACAGGCTGCTACATATGAGGATCTGTGGGCTGGGGGATTAATCCCTGTATCGGGATTAGAAGAGGAATGGAATCTGCTACTCTTAATCGATTAGGAATTGTGCTAACCCTTTGCCAATCACCTAGAGATCTACCAGTAGATCTTGGTCTGCCTTCTGCCTGCTCTCAGCGCACTGCAGTCCACACCATCTATAATACCATATTCCTCAGGACTATTGTGTACTGGGAGTGGATGTGTCACACACCTTTTTTACAAGGTAGCTTTTGTGGGACAAGAATGTTTGCTTTAGGGGATTGTGGTAGGGGCAGCGTTTAAAAGCAAATCACTTGATAAAACTACATTTAGACAACTTTGGGGGGGTGTTCTTCAAAAAATTTTTGACTACCTGAGATAGAATTAATTGTTTGGTGTAATATTTCTCAAGTTCTGTGATGGCAGCTGGAAGGGAGTTACAATGTCTTGGGAGTAGACAGGGGGATACAATCCTGAAACAGGCATGCCTTCCTTCCACACAAGTGAGGACATGGGTAGATTGAATATCATATGATAAAAAATTATTTCATGATTCACATTTGATTTGGGGTGGGGTGGGGTAGTCTGCATCCCAGCATGACTGGAAAGAGTTGATGCTGTTTTTGAAGGGAATCAGCAATAACTTGTTCTCTGCTGTGGCTGGCTTTGTGCTAATCTCTTCTCTCTCAGCTTCAGTGTTCCTCTCCTGTAAGCTATTGGTTTAAATTAACTGGTTGCCCTTCATTTGTTCAGCTGACCAGCTTGAGAGTTTTGTGTTGCAACCTCTGATCTGTAGTAACATAGATGTGGATTTGCACTTGTATATGCAGTGCATCATAGTGTATGGCCTGGTGGTTGCAGGAGGTAATTGGCGCCACCATTTTGCATTTGTCTCTGCCTTCCACTAGTTTGCATTTGATGCTGATTGGTGGATTTCAGGTTCCCGGGGGGGGGGGGGACAACCCAGAATATCTTGCAGACCTGTAGATCACAATAAAACACGTGGATGTTTCTTGGCAGGGGATTTGCTCCATCTCCTTGATCATTTTGGTTGCCCTTTTCTGAATCTTTCTCAGCTCTGTGATACAAGCTCTGGAACTTTACCCTTGCAACTGATAAGATGACATTTCTCTTTGACATGAGGAATGAGTAAAACAACATGTGTTGTTGCAAATGTTTTATTCTGATTCGTATGCACAGATGTCTATTTTACTTTAGCCCATTAGAGCGACAACACAAAAGACATGCAAGAGTGAATGCCTGTTATTCTGCAGAAGACAAAGAGATTAGCAGTAGGAGCCATTGCTTTTTGTTTAATCTTTTAATGGTGGCAGAAGGAAATGAAACCAAGGAGTGCTTTGTGACCAGTTGGGCCTCTTTTAAATGCTGTACAGCTAAAGGAGAATAGGCCGTGGCAATTTGGCAACTGGGCTGTCATTTCAGTACCCTTGAAAACTTTCTAATGTATCCATAATGACTATAATGACATAATGCATCATGCTAGTACATGATGTGGGCAGCCCCCTCCTATATTTCTCTCAACAGGGGACATTGAATTCAGTAGCAAAGAAAAATCCCTATGTTTGAATGGTACCTTTCCCCCTAGCACAGCAAATACTATTTCTCATATGTCTCACTCAAAAGTTATTTCAGTCCTCATCTTTCCTTTGTGTTCCATTCTTTTTTTTACAAAGCTATCTCTTGTAACAGATAGCTAAAGGCATCCAAAAAAACACACCTTAATTTGGCTCACGATTAAATTAAAACTAGAGTAACTGCTGTAAAGGCTTGCCTTCATTCAGCTTATTTTCTTCAATGCATTTAATAATTGCATCATATTGCCATTATTAGTTGCATCATTCCTCTGAGGTTGTAAATTCTGAGGTTGACTTCACCTGAAAGGCTTCACCTGAATACCTTAGAGCTTAGCTATCTAGCACCTCAGTTTTAGAAAAAGTCCTTTTTCAATGCAACTGAGGTTTTATAAAGAACTCAACAAAGATTTAGCAGCTTGGGCATTGCAAGAACTGTCAAAATAAGGTATCTAGAAAATGGGGTTACTAGAGCAAAACAAAGCGGGTGGAATTCAAAGTAGCACTCAGCAGATTACCCATCAATGCAAGCATTTCTGTGTGCCTGGTGGAATGATCTCCTCCTTCCTTCTCCTTTATGTTGTTCTGGGGGTTCTCCCATCACCCCAGAGCTGATTGGAGACATTGGGGGGGGGAGAGGGGAGCCCCATTGTGCGAAGGGGACTTGCAGCACTGGCTTGTGCTAGCACAGCTTATTAGTTGAAGCTGGCCCAGTGTTTACAACATACTTCTGCTCTGCAATTGTCTTCCACAGAATCTGTTTTACAAATGCAGATTTAGAAAGGAGGTGAGATCTGTTGCAATATGCTTTGCTTTGCTTTAATTAGTTTGGCTAACCTTTGTTGGTTATATGATTGTTTAGTGAAATAATGAGAAAGAGAGAAAAACCAATGTCAGGAAATCATAGCTTAAAATTGGGGAGTGCCCTTAAAGCAGTGACCTCAAATTGTGAGTGTCTGCAACTCTGCTAGCTGAACATCCATGGTTTTGTATCTGTTATATAATGGAGCAAACTTTCTACCCTTGCAGTGCATGCCCTTGAGGTTGCTCTGGTTTATAGCCTCCATGATGGGTGTTGCAGATAAGGGAACCTAAAAAACTTGCAGACTTGGGAAGCAGTGGGTGGAATGTGAATGTCATTCACCTTACAAACATCAAGGTATAAAGCATCATAGTGTTGTATCTGTGAAAGAAAAGGCAGGTACTAAGAGACCCACCAATTGGCTGTGTGGAAACTTTTCAAAACAACATTAATTTCTGTGCTCTATGAAGTCTCCCAGCCCTCCTCCCCTCTCCTAATACATTGTAAGTCAATTGACTTGGAGATGTCATGAATTTCTAACCAGCCATGAGGCTGTTGCCAAAAGCCAATAGCTTATCATCAAAGCAGAGATATCCTACATGCCATGGAGTGCACTCCTGATTAGAAAGTAAAATAAACTATCCAGGATACTAGTAGAGAAGGAAATCAATGAAGTCTGACACATCTCATCAGGCAAAAAGAAAAGAAACAGTCTTGCATTTCTAAAAGGCGATGTTGCACAAGCTGTAATTTTATCCAGGGTTTTGATCCACTTACAAGTTTAATCTAACCTCTGTGCACTTAAATGTTTCATTATCTCTTCGAAAATAATTAGGGGTTGCAAGCAGAAGTCTGTATATGTAGAGTTCCTTGGGAGTCCCCAAGCTCATTGAGGTGAAGACAGCTTGACTGATGCTTGTCAGCCAATATTGGGCCTGGAGCTAATAATAGAAGGCACTTCTGCTTAGCTAGGTGAGAAAGTTAGCTTGGGGAAAATTAAACTGAAGGTTTTTGGATTTATGATTTGAAATAAATTTCCCATTCTCATTTGTTTCCTGGTAAGAGCCTGCAAAGGGAGTTGGTCTCTTTTATGGTTTTATAATTAAGATCGAGGGGATTCTTGACTTCCTCCAGACGTATTGTGGCTCACCAATATCCCTAGAAATAGCTTTTCATGTCCAAGGAGAGTGTTTTGTTTAGTGATGCATAAAGATAATAAATAATACTGACCAGTGCTCTTGCAGCTGCCACTCCTGCCAAGCATGCAGGAAATAAATTAAGTTAGCTCAAAGGGGGTTTGATGGATAAAGTGATTGCAGAGGAAAAAGAGAGAAAACTAGGCTTGGCTTGGCTTGATGAATGCAGGCATCAGATTTCTCCCCACCCCCACCCCCAAGTACAGAAAAATAACAGACATGTTTTATTTTGTAAGGCATTTAAGACCATGATGGTTAGAACTCTGTGATCAGTATGCAAAAGTTTCAATAAGACTGCCCACTATGTTGACAAGGTTAGCCAAACGCTTGCCAGACTTTGTCTTCTATGCGCTAAGAGCACACCAGGTGTGTGCAGTGATAAGAGACTTTTCCAGAGTGGCTTCTCCACTGTGAAACAACTAATTTCTCCTAGGGACATGTTGGTGTCATCCTGAACATTTTCAGAGGGGTTCCATAAAGAAGAAGAAGAAGAGTTTGGATTTGATATCCCGCCTTTCACTCCCTTTAAGGAGTCTCAAAGCGGCTAACAATCTCCTTTCCCTTCCTCCCCCACAACAAACACTCTGTGAGGTGAGTGGGGCTGAGAGACTTCAAAGAAGTGTGACTGGCCCAAGGTCACCCAGCAGCTGCAAGTGGAGGAGCATAAAGAATGAGGACCTCATTTTGCAACTGGTAGGAAGTGGCATGATTCTGTTTGGTTGGTTTAATCTCAAACCCTCGGGCAAACCTAGAGGCATGGGTCTCTTACAGGAGCAGTTACTTACCTTGGGAGTTCAGTTTGCAGATTTCCCCCAGGTTGTTGATACAGTTGTGACTTCCAGGCAGAGAAGGTCACTGTGAGTGCAATGGAAATTTCCGTCCTTTCTGGAGATGCTAGGCTTGAGGATGTTCCTAAAAGCTAAATATGTGATGTAGCAAAGCCTTGGAGCAATCAGCCTCTAGGAAACCAGAAACCTGATTACTAGTGAAAGTTACTTGCTTTTAGATATTTTGCAGGAAGACAAGGGAATGTTCAAGGCAGTGTTCTTTTTTCTGCTTTAACTATATTTTAC